AAGAGGAGAGGGGAGAGAGAGAGAGAGAGAGAGAGAGAGAGAACCTGTATTTCACATGAAACCCAAACCTAGAAGCACCAATTTTGGATCTGTCTTGGCCAGGATGCCTTTAACCTTTCCCTCAGCTTTCCTAAACAGTAATAAAGCTAAACTTGACCAAAGAAACAGACAACAGAGGACTTCCTCCTGCTTAGATCCCTGACTTTCTTCCTCCCAAAGCTTTCACTTTAGAAAACTTGTAATTGTTAACTAGGCTCTTTGCCTCTTTGTTAACTGCCTCCAGCCAATTTTACACTCACACTCCCCCAAGAAGCCCTGAAGCCATCCAGGGAAATGTGGCACTCAGTGGAGCCCCATTAACCTGGTTCTGGAAATAGTAATACCCCACTCTAGGTCTGGCCAGGCAGCACAATCCTGTACTCCCAGTTACTCAGGAAACTGAGGTGAGCATAATGATCATAAGTTCAGTGATAGTCTGGGCTACACACCAAGTTCAATACCAGCCAAGACAATTCAGAGAGACGCTGTCTCAAAATGCTAAGTAAAACTAGGGATTGACTGGCAAAGTTCTCCCCCCACAGCACATCCAGCACCACAAGTAAATAAAAACTAAGAGAACAAGAGTGGAACTTAAGCAGAAATCTTGTTTCAAGTGATTAAAAGGTAATATTATAAATGTTATAATCTTTATAGCATTATCATTGTGATTAGTCTTTATTGATAAATCATTGTCATTGTAATAGAATGACATGATTATTATTAGTTGTTGCTGTTATTAGTTATTGTAATCTTAAATTATTGTCTTTCACAATAATTTTATATTTATTTATGTTTATTTCTACCAAACTTTCTAGAAACACTGACTATTATTCTTAGAATATTTAGAACTCACCAAATTAGTCACCACTTTTAATTCTATGGCCCTACAAGCTATTTTTAAATATTTTATGTTTTCTCCCATAGGCACACATAATTTTAGCTGGAACTTTTAAACCCTACAAGAAGAGTAAGTCCTAATTTGGAAAATTAACAACAACAATGTAGAAAACACTGGAAACTTCACACTAGAGCTGCATGGCCATGTACATATTCATTTCCCTGTGTAGACAGATCATGAACTTTGCAATTGTACTTTATTGGCGTCCAAGTACTTGAGGGTCACTTGTATCCCTCAGATGCAAGAAAAAGTGGGGAGCTGGTGGCTCAGACTGGGGGATTTTCTCCATTATTAAAGGTTTTGTTGGGATTTCCACCCCATCCCCAGAAGGCATCTAGTGTAGAGCAAAATGTGAAGTTCTTTCCTGTCACTACATCATAAAACCTCCTCAGGACCTGTCATCAAAGAGTGCATGTATCAGGTGACATGTTCTGTTGTAGGCTAGCCCCCATAGAGCAGGATCTAACTTGTCTCCAGGCAAAATTTGTCCCCACAGCCTCACCTTACACTTGACATTTCAGAAAACAGAGGCCTAATCAAATTTCACAAACTTCATCAACTTCATCAAACACTCACTTTGGTGGCACCAAAGAAACTCGGAAAAAAAAGAAAATCCAGTCAGACAAAAGCATAACTAAATTCTGAATTGATTCTACCTTAGGATAAAATTTTAGGGTGTGTGCACATGTGTGTGGGGGCGTGTTTTCATCTCGTCTGAACAGGTCAACAGAATGAACTAAACTATTGCATGAAACACAACCTTATATCTAATTGCTCCTTATTCTGGTTTCTTTCATGCCTCCTTCCTTCACCTCACTTCATTATCCCAATTCTGCTTTAGCACCCAGGTAGCAGTCAGTAGCATACCACAGCTCATCAACAGTATATTGGCCACATGTTCTCTCTCTCTCTCTCTCTCTCTCTCTCTCTCTCTCTCTCTCTCTCTCTCTTTCACTCTCTCTTTCTCTCTCTCTCTCACACTCTCACTTGTAAAGCATGGTCCTACTTACTACAACAGTTAATCCAGGACAGGAAGTAGGTGACAAAATGACTGTCCTTGTTTTTTTGTCTCAATCTCAGTTACACATAGATGCTTTTTGAGAAAGTTGGAATGTCAAGCAAAATGGGCCTTGCTCAATAAATCTAAAGTGAAATTATTTTCAGTAAAATACTAAATACTAGCTTTAGAGTTCATTCTACAAACTAGACTATTCAAACAATAAAGTGAATTAGCATTCAGCTAATTTTCATTTTTACAAGTGGAGAAATAAGGACAATGACAATTAAATACTGTCCAGAGGATTCACAGGAAAAGTGACATTCTGAAAACCAAGCCTTTTGTGTCTCAGTGTGTGACATCATTCTTCAGCTGGAGCATGGAACACTCCTTTTCTCCACACATCTCCCATGTGAAAGCAGAGAGCATTTGTATCGTATTCTCCTTTCATGTTTGTCATGACAGGGTCAAAAGAATGGCATGGTGAATAATGCCTTGAGGAACTGTGAAAGAGGCTCCAGGAAAAAAGGCAGAGGGTCTTTTACCTCAAGTGCGTTTTGTTCCCTGAATTGTTCTTGGATGTGATTTCCTGGCTCCTGGGCTAAACATTTACATTCAATTTATAGGACATGTTCATTCTTGTTGGATGTCAGAATATAGCTGTAGAACCCAATCTGGTGACAGGACATGCTAAGTGCTGTCCTCAGTGTACCCTGAACCTGGATATGGCCTCTTCCTTGCTATCATGTTTTCCCAGATACATAGTACATGCCAAGTAACTGTTTAAATCGGTTTGTCCTGAGAAAGTTCTGTTAATATTGAATATGTACTTACTGGCATTTATTTATATGTTTTTCTGAATACAAACAACCTCCATTGGATCATCACTTTCTTACGTTCAGTATAAAAGTACACTGAAACTAAAGTAAACTTGTCTGCATTAGGCTGGAGTCTTCCCCACTCTTACAGGGTCCTCAGATCCCAGGTCTCACAGACACAGATCTACACAGGTTGACCAAAGTCAACAAATGTCTGAGGAGAATAGGAAAAATAATTGTCAAATCCCTAACCAGGAGCATACACCATAAACTAAGGGAGACAGAAACACTCCAATGCCTGGTTCCCCCGCAGTAGATAATCTGCCAAAGATTCTGTACCAAGGAACCCCACCAAAAATATGCAACTGATTTCTTCCCAAAGGAGCTGTCTCTGAAAACTTGAGCAGGAATTCTGGAGGTATACAAAGGGTGTATTTCAGTCTGAGAATTTTGCAGACACACACACACACACACACACACACACACACACACAGAGAGAGAGAGAGAGAGAGAGAGAGAGAGAGAGAGAGGAGAGAGAGAGACAGAGAGGGAGAGAGAGAGACAGAGAGAGAGAGAGAGAATCTTTCAAGACACCAGATGAATCTCTTTTGCTGAATTTATGAGTCTAAACATGACCTAGGGGCTAGAAGCTATACATAGTTTTCTAACAAACATGCTACCTGTAGATATCAGGCCTTAAGAAAATGACACAGCTCACTATTTGTATAGAAAGGGGCTGGGAACTGTGTTAGTAGGCCACTACCATAGACCAGGACTGTTAATAAAGATGCAATGCTGACTGGAGAAATAGGTATTGTCAGGCAGAGTGACTGCTGCAAATTAGGAAGAAGGGAGGAGGCAAGGATCAATGTAAAGCTCCCTACTAAATGAATACTTAGGTCAAGACTGCTAGGAAGTTCCTATGAAGAACTAGCTTGGAATGTGTTCCATTTGAGATGTGTTGGGCACACCAGGTCATCTGAGATGCTAAGATGACAGTCATTGCAATTTGGAAATAAAGGCAGGTCGGAAAAAAGATGAGCAAACATTTCAGAGCAAGAGTTAGAGGCCCTGGGCATCCTGACTCCAGGAGAGCCTATATTAACTGATGAAATTATTCAAATCCTACAGATGGTGGAGGCACGAAATTAGAAACCCACCTTATTCTAAGGGAAATCCAGTATATGAAGATTATAAAAGAGGGGGAGGGGAGGAGAGAGAGAGAGAGAGAGAGAGAGAGAGAGAGAGAGAGAGAGAGAGAACTGAAATCTGAAATCATGGTTTCAGAAAGGGCTTTTTAGGAGAACCAGGAGGATTTGCCTTAGGCCTGTGTGGTCCACAGATCACAGTATAGGTAAACACACAGTCTTGATTAGGGGGCCATGACACAGGATAAACAGCTCTTGGCAAGGCAGTCTGGGCCTGAGAGCTAATGAGTATCTGGAAAGTGAGGAACTTGGCTGAAGAACAGCCATGACACAGTGGGACGGGAGGTGAAGCTTTGTTTCAAGTTGACAAGAAGTAGTCAATGAACAAAAGAAAAAAGGAAGGGCCAGTGGAGTGGAAAGCTGGGTGCAGAAGACTTGTTTTTCCACCCCATGTGGAATGGGGTGGAACTCCAAACTAGCCTGAGGCTACATACATGTAAATTCCTAACTTCATTGCAGATCACTCCTTAGCATTGTTTTTGCACCACAGCTTCTTCCATTCGCTGGTGTAAAAGCTCCGGTGCTCCCTCCTAGCGATCAAAGTCCTGGGCTTGGGGTAGAAACTGTGTCAGGGACAGCAGATCCTGCAAGCCAGACTCGGCGTTGGAAACACACACTCCCGGAAGCAGGCTTGGCACCCAGAATGCGCCTGCGCTGTGCCGTCTCTGCTACCTCCTAGGCGGCTCAGGCTTAGACCCACGTGACCTGCAGCCCCTCCGCCCTCCTTACCTGCTGTCACTGGCGTCCTCTGCCAGCTCCTGGGCTCTTCCCTCTACTTGGATGGGATCCCGGCCTTCTCCCACCTGGCCTCTCTGCTTCCTGGCTCCTCGGAGCCGTTTCTGTCCTGGGAACCTGGGGATCTGAGAGCCTCCCCTGAGCTCCTACCTTGGAGATTACTTCGGCTGAGGTTTCTGCTTCTTCTATCCTTGCTTTGTGAACGATCCAAGTCCGCCTTGATCCTGGGCAAGGCCCCGAGGGGGTGACTCAGGCCCAAACAGTCTGTGACTCACACTATCCAGAGTGGGACCTGGGAGGAGCCAGAGCCTGGCCAAGCACCCTCCCACCGGGTGGAGGGCAGTCTGCTGACACCTGAACATGGGTTTGAGGACACAATGAGGGTTTAGTGCCCCAGGACAGTGTGGATGGCTTCACCCCCTTACAGGACTAGTTTGTTTTACCAGATTAGTATGTGTTGCCTTTGTGTTTTGTGTGTATGCAAGAGCAGTTTTGCAGTTGAAATTTAGCTTTGAAAATTAACCAAAGGCAAAATCCAAAGATTGCAACTGCTGGCAGGGCATACGTGACTGTTTTTGCTTAGCAACCTAGCTTTTGGCTTGCATCTTCAAAGTTGATCATGTGAGGATATACTGACTTTTGATCCCATGCAAATGTCATAAAAATGCAAACAAAAAAATTTAAAAGACTTTAAACCTAGGAAAAAAACATATTTGTTCAGCCAAAATTCACATACCGCCCCCCACAGGGAGGAAAGTGATTATGTGTTTGTGTGTGTTCTCATTCGATGTTTTGACAGTGATTTGAAGACTTAGTTTAGTTTTGATTCATTACTAACTGGATTGTTGGCCATCCTAAAGAAAAGTCATCTCAGAAATGAGCTGATTAAAATGTAATACCCACTTTCTTTAATAAACCTTTACCCTTGATTTTTAGCTTGTCTGATAGTTCATCTGCTTTGGTATAAAATATTCAAAAATTTAACACTTTGAAGTGCACTGCTCTTCTATTTGAAAGACCATTATGGAGTTTAGAAAGCCACATTTCCAAGCCTCTGAGACTTGTCTTTTCTAATCTTCAAAGCAAGTGACATCTTGTCAGGGTCTGAAAATCCGGGGATAATCCACCACAAAGGACCAGGCTCATGGGAGCCAAAAATTTATCTAGAAAACTTGGTATCAGGGAGGCAGCAGGGTTCGGGCTCCAGACCGTGTTCCTGAGGCAAGGGCCGCAGCCAGTTTCATATGGGAAAACCACCAAGAGACAGCTCCAGAGTCCCATCCATTCACAATGTAATTTGGGATGGGTACTTTTCACCATGACACACTTTCAGCCTGTCAGGGAGTTCTGTGGTTTGTTGATTCCACTGACTCTGGGCGGACCAATCAGAAGCGGGTGGAACGTTTGTGGTTTACACCTGTGTGAGGAGTTTGGGGAATGTAGCCTAGCCTCAGGAAATTGTGGGTGGTGGTAGCTCAGGGCAGTATGGCAGACTGGAACAAAATGGAGTTTCTGCTGCTAATAGGATCTAAGGATCAGAGCATATGACACCAAGGCATAGGGTCATATGACACTATAAATCACCAGCAGGATGATCGCTACAGTTTCTAAGAGCAGTTCCTCTCTCATGCACTGAACGAGCCTTTGTCTGCCAGGGATCGATTTTCCTTTTTCACAAAAGGATTCTCTAGATGTTCTTCTGTGAGGCGCTTACCAAGACAGAAAAGCTCAGCAAACTTAAAATGGTGGCCCTGGGGAAACAAAAAACAAAAAACAAAAAACAACCAAGAACTAAACAAGAATTCTAACAATAGGCTGGGTGGTGGTGGTGCACACCTTTAATCTCAGCACTCCGAAGGCAGAGGCAGGCAGATCTCTGTGAGTTGGAGCCCAGCCTGGTCTACAAGAGCTAGTTCCAGGACAGCCTCCAAAGCCACAGGGAAACCCTGTCTCAAAAAAAACAAAAAAAAAAAAAAAAAAAAAAAGAAAGAAAAGAAAAACAACAAAAACAAGAACTAAACAAGAATTGTAACAATAGGCATGCCTAGTGGGCAGGGGAAAGCCCAAGGAGCTTCAACCCTACACAAAGAACCACATACAATTAATGAATACTCAGTGGAAGAAATTGTCTTCTTGGGAAAGAGGATACCCACTGATTTTCAATAACAAATGGGCAACTCTGAAAGCATACATATGAATAACATGCAGACAGAGCAGGTTGTACTTACGTATTTAGGAACATGTATATACGCATGCACGTGATAGTGAACGAATGGAAAAAGAGGCTGTGGATCTGAAAGAGAGCTAGGTGGAGTGGATAGGAGGGTTTGGATGGACAAAAGAAAGGTAATGGGGAAATGTCATAATATTATCTCAAAAAATAATTTTTAAAAATCTATAAGTATGTGATTAATTTTCCTTTAAAAACACTCTTAAAGTGTACTTGGTGACACACCAGTTTCTGGTGCCACTACGACCAAGAACAAAGGTGATAAAGAGGCTGGGAGGATGGTGGAGTGGGGTGGTACTTGTATGGCAGGACTGGAGGAGACATGACAACTCTGACTAGTTTGCAAGAAGGCAGAGATTCATAGAGGATTGGGTCATTGCACAGAGGGGTCAGTGAGGAGATTTTTCTGTTGTTTTTTGTTTTATTTTGTTTCTCTGGGGGGAGTGGAGACTATAAGGGTGGAGGGAAGATATGAAAAGAATGGGAAAATAGTGGGATTGGGACACTTGATATGTAACCCCCCAAAAAACCAATAAAAATTAGTTAGAATACAAAAAAAAAATAAACACTATTATGAGCTTCGGTGTTTACTAAAAGAGATTGGTAGTAATTGGGTTACTTATTACAACACATAATCGTTCCTAATCATTGTTTTTGAATCACAGTGCTAACACCCAGTGCCAGTCATCTCTTGCAATGCTTACCTGAGAACACACTGGAAGCTGAACTCTATTCATCATGAAGCAGTGCTTCTCCCTCTGTATACATGCAGAGGCTCTGAGTGCCAAGCTGCAGTGCGGAAACATGTCTCCTGGTTTTAAAGTCTTTGTGGCTAGCTATGCTCTGCTCCTGGAGAGAAACCAGAAAGGCTAAATATGCACTAAAGTAGACACAGACACGAAGGTTCAGAATGACATTTTGGAACAAACAAAATCCTTGCGTGTGTGTGTGTGTGTGTGTGTGTGTGTGTGTGTGTGTGTGTCCGCTACTATTAAAGGTGTTATTCATCTGGAATATCATAAAGGCACTTCAGCCCTTGCTTGCCTTTAAACCTGAGTAGAACAGATGGTCCCAAGGCAGGTGGTTGTGCCTGGAAGGCCTTAACCTAGAGCACGCATATCTGGATTTAGTGCTTTTCCCTTTCATGAGTTATGACCAGCCATCTCTCCCCTCTTATTGCAATATCTTTACCTCCTTTCTTTCTTTCCTATATCTGTTTTTCTTCGGTTGAATTTTGCACTTATTTTAAGGCAGGGTTTCATTTAGGCCAGGTTGCCCCAAGCTCCCGATGTTGCTGAAGATGACCATGAACTTCCTCTCTTCCTGCCTCTGCCTCCTGAGTGCTGCCTGTTGGAATTATGTGTCACATCATTGCATTTTATGCAGTGCTGTGGACAAAAACCAGAGCCTTCTACTTCCTAGGGCACCATCATTGAGTTTTATTTCCAGCCACAACTCCTTCACTCCTGAATCTTTTATCTCCTCACTCCTTGGGAGTCTTATATGAAATATACCCAACATTTCCCCTATTTAAACAAATAATCACTTGGTGAAAAAAATAAACATGATTAAAAAAATAACCAGACTTCATTCCTAGGTTTCCATCCAAGGCATTGTTACAGTGTTTACAGTCAAATTTCTGAAAGTGGGAAAGTATGACTTTTTTATTTTATTTTTTCCCATTTTTTATTTTAATTAGAAACAAGATTGGTTTACGTGCCAATCCCAGTTCTCTCTCCCTCCCCTCCTCCCCTTTCACCACCCCCCAACTAAAACCCTACCTATCACATACTTTTTCTGCACCTCAAGGAGGGTGAGGCCTTCCATAGGGGGTCTTACGAGTCTGCCATATCCTTTGGGATAGGGCCTAGGCCCACCCCCGTGTGTCTTGGCTCAGGGCGTATCTCTCTATGTGGCATGGGCTCCCAAAGTCCACAACTATGCTAGGGATAAGTACTGATCTACTACAGGAGGCTCCATAGATTTTCAAGGTCTCCTCACTGACACCCAGGTTCCTGCCATCTGGATCAGTCCCATGCTGGTTTCCCAGCTATCAGTCTGGGCACCAAGAGCTCCCCATTGTTAAATGTGCATTAACTGTTGGTTTTCCCATCTTTGCTTCACAGTTTCCTGAAGTTTGACTTCCACACTAGTCTTCCCTGAAAGTAGCCCTGCTGGGGTCTCCAAGCTCTTCTATCTGCTGTAGCTAAAAGACCTATCCCTGGTCCCCTTTCATTCTAGTTAGCCCCTTGTTTTTGGCCTTCCCAGAATCTCCTGGCTTCTTGGCTTTTTCTCCAGATTCCTTTTATATCACTTGGTGTTTACTTTTAATCATATGGTGATGCTATTTTATATAAACTACTCAGCTGTATTCATAAATTCAAGTTTCAAAATTTTGTTCATTTAATTGTTGTGTGACACTATTCCTGGGAAGATATAAATGAACATCTTGCCCCAGATAGGAAACTTATGGCAGACCAAAGCACAGATACCACCAAAGACCAACTTGTTGAGACAATGGGCTTTATTGGAGATACTTAAAGAAATAATGGTATGCTGGCTAGTTTTATGTCAACAGGACACAAGCTAGAGTTATTAGAGTGGAGGGAGCTTCAAGAAAATGCCTCCATAAGATCAGTAAGGTAAGCCTGTAACACATTTTCTTAATTAGTGATTGATGTGGGAAGGATCAGCCCACTTTGAGTAGAGCTACCCTGGGCTAGTAGTCCTGTGTTCTATAAGAGACACAGCTGAGGAAGTGTCTGGGAGGAAGCCACCACTCCATGACCTCTGCAACAGCTCCTACCTCCAGGTTCCATCCCCGCTTGAGTTCCTGCCTTGACTTCCTTTAGTGATAGACTACGATGTGGATGTGTAAGCCAAATAAACACTTTCCTCTCCAGCTTGTTTTTGGTCATGGTGTTTCATCATGGCTGTAGTAACTCCGAGAGGACAGTTGGTGAGAGATTACTTACAGGTACCAAGATGAGTCAAAGACAGCTGCATCACCAAAGCTCAGCCAGTGTGGG